GCTTGACACGAGGAATGCGACATTTGTAGCCCATGTCTAGGATTCGTCTGTGTGTAGTGGCTCTTGATGCGCTGACTCAGCCAGCCTCAGTCCACTTCTTGAGAAGCTTCCCCAAATTCTTGAATGGATTTTGCCTGACAATCCTCTCAAGGCTGCAGTTATCCCTTTTGCTGGTGCACCTTTTCCTACCACACTTTTTTTATACAGCGCACTGTGAACAACCAGCTTCTTTAGCAATGAACTTTTGTGGCTTACCCTCCCACCCGGAGGGTGTCAATGACTCTTCTGGACATCTGTCAAGTCAGCAGTCTTCCCCATGATTGTGTAGCCTACTGACCCAGACTGAGAGACCATTTAAAGGCTCAGGAAACCTTTGCAGGTGTTTTGAGGTAATTAGCTGATTAGGGTGTGACACCATGACTTTCCAATATTGAACTTTTTCACAATATTCTAATTTTCTGAGACACTGAATTTTGGCCACAAAGCCACAATCATCAAAATTTCAAGAAATAAAGGCTTGAAATATTTCACTCTGTGTAATGAATCTATATAATATATGGGTTTCACTTTCTGAAATGAGTGACAAAAAATATTGACCTTTTTCATGATATTCAAATGTTTTGAGATGTACCTGTAAATCATTCTCATATGCTGTCTTTTATTGGTTAGAAAGTGTGGGAACCATGATAGCCTAGATTATTATATAATGGCTCATATAAAATGTATACATTACTTGTACACACAACCATGACCTAGTGTGACTTTTGCTGCAGGGAACGCAGAACTTTGGGGGAATCCATGTGGGCAACGGCCCCACAGAGGATGAAGCTGAGATCATCCAACATGACCAGCTCTCCCAAAACTTAGAAGAAGAATCGCCTGAGGTGAGGGAATTCTCTTTTTTTAATCTGTCTGTCTGTTTTTCTCTTAACTAGCCTATAGAATAACTAATAATTTTACTAATTAAATACTTTACCCATCTTTGTTTATTGTTAATTTTACAAAGTTGCTTTAGTTTGTGAACTCTAACAATAGTCTTTCTATAGCCAGAGAATGACGTGTTCTGCCAACCCATTTATCTGGATATTTGTTTGGGTCAGGTTTTTCGGTCCGACGCTCCATGTGATGTCATCTGTTGATCCTGAGAATAACTTAACGCTTTATCATAAGAATAGTTAAAGTGAATTTCTTTATAGTAGTCTATGTGATACTTGTTTCCACCCACACGGTGACAAGTCACACCCAGGTACCAAAAATGGCTGCAGTTGGCAGTGGGGTCGCTCGACTGTAGTGGGCATTCCATTCTGTGACTCACTGGATCTGGGATCTGCATACCAGTGCTGGTCTAAACTGGGGCAGCCCCTTTTAAAAGCACTGTCTCTCCCCCCAACCACTGTATCCCATGGCAACCAGCCTCAAAACACTAAACAAACACCCACCTGGCTAATTGGGTTTCTCTACACTGGAAATAAAATGGAGGCAGATAAACCTGCATTATTTTGAGGTTTGAGATGCAGTCTTTTCAGTGCGTTAGTGCCAAATAATCTTTCCTCCTTCCATTCCAAACAGACCTGCCAGTAGCAGCCATTAAATTCAGTTTACTGGAGACTGAAGTCAAATCCCTGGGATTGTTTATCTCTCTCATTTTGGCGTTTTCAGTGACCCTATAAAGTATATAAGTGCTATATAAATGTAATGAATTAATTATTTGGTCACTAAAGCTGCACTTAAAAATGTATCAGTTTACAAAAACCACGTGGCATCTGCAAACAAATGATGCTAGACCTCGTAAATAGCATAAATTTCCTATTTTTGTATTACTTTCAAGCAACTAGTCTCAATGATTTTTAGTAGACATATAGGCTACATTCACACAGCAAGCCTTAGTGACCAATTCCGATTTTTTTTCTCAGATTTGATTTTTTTGTGTAGGTGTTCACATTTTTATTTTAAATATGGCCAATATCAGATTTACAGTGTGAACAGATCATGGTTTGAACTGAACCGCACGCATAAAAAACAAAAACAACAACTATATGAACGGGGTTGCCAGGTTCTCACAACAAAATCAATTGCTTCTCAAAACTAGTCCAAAACTAGCCCAATCACGTTCTGGGGGGGGGGGGGATTAGTGGGGTCGCCAAACCCACAGAGTTGAAAAACAACCCACGGCAACAGTGAAAAAGTAGCCCAATTCTGCGGGAAAACTGTGGATTTGCCAACACTTGCACAGTGCACCATTGTACGAAAGTAAACACGGAGGACATAAAGTAAGCGATTATGTGTTTATTTATAGTGTGTTCTGCTGCAGAAGCCAGCTAAATTATGCACCGGCAATATGAAAAATAAAGTAAAAAATGTAGTTTTAAAACTTATATGAGCCCTCATGTTTTGCTTGTATATAGAGTTGTCACTGTAATACTTATGAGTTCTGACACATCGCTGTACTTTCACTGACTACCTTTCGCAACTGTCTTGATAACTTTGGGTTTGTAAAAGCTTTGAAGTATCTCCCATGAGTGTAGAATCGCAGAATCGAGTGACGTGAAAGTCGCATGAATTCAGAATTTCAGATATGACTGTTCAGACTGTGGTCGCATTGCAAAACATCTGAACTATATCAGATTTAGTTCCACATATGGAAGTGGCACAAATCGGAATTGAAAAGATCAGATTCCATGTGGTTTGTGCTGTTCACACAACAGATCTGAGTCACATGTGAACAAAAGAAAATTCAGATTTGGCCCAATTTGCCTGCCGTGTGAACGTAGCCATAGAGTCAGCCCCCCTCAGTTTCACAAAGTAGTTAGTTATGTCACATTACTCTTTTGACAAACAGAAAATGTCCAAACTGTTGTCCAAATCATGTCTGTTTCAAAGCTAACAAATCTTTTAATGAAATGTTTTACTTAGTGTGCTGTGCTTGTTTTGAAAAATGCCACTTGCTTTGTTATATTTTGTTTAATTAGTCATTCATGCATTTGTAGGTGTGGCTTAAGTGTCTGAATACTTTTTGGGACCATTGCATTTTGTTATGTGTTCGTCATTAGATCTTTGCATTTTCTGTAAACCAAAGTGTATTTTTCCTCTCACTAGCTCTTCGTCAGATTCTAACTCTGTCTTTAACCCTGTGTGTCTGTCTGTGCATGTGTCTGATTGCCTTTCAAGCAGTCAGAGGAGGAAGTGGTAAGAGCAGACAGCCTTCTCGACTCTTTGTAGATGTTTTTTACATTTGTGTTTGTGTGTGTGTGTGTGTGTGTATGTGCGCCATCATCCTGTACAGTCTTCTTGCTCTACAGCTTGTGTATGTGTTCCTGCAAGGCTTCAGTGTTGGGTAGTCTCCTGTAGTTGGTGTTCGGTCCTTTTCCAGTACATCTAGATAGATTCTTTTCTAGACACCCATTTTCCTTTGTTTTAGCCACCATCATTACATGGGAATGATCCAGTGAGCTGTGCTGTGATTAGGATATATATCACATCAAATGATGCTGATGATCTGAAAGCGCCCCGCGCTGTGATTTTGTTCTCATGCCCGTGAGATTCAGGGCTGCTAATCATGCTGTGATTGAGCTGGGAGTGGGATTAGATTTTTGTAATTTCATGAGTCCGAACAGCTCTTATTGCTCTCTTTCTCTCTCTCTTTAGTTTAATTTTGCAGATGTTGCAGTGCATCAAGCCATTCACACTATAGAATACTGCTTAGGCTGCATCTCAAATACTGCCTCTTATCTACGGCTTTGGGCGCTGAGTCTGGCCCATGCGCGTAAGTAATGCACACACTCATACGCATTTATTGTAATGAAAATATATGGAAATTTGATTATGCTCAGTTCTACTTTGTAGACTAGTAATTAAAGTCTTTGTAATCTCTATTAAATAAATAAATAAATGAAGAAAATCCATCCTCTAATCATAAAAATTCATAAACTGCAGCCCTGTACAAATGTCAGTAAATGTTTATCCTCTCACTAAGCAATTTGTAATCGTTTTAAGTGTTTCTGTTTTCTTCCAGAGCTCTCTGAGGTCTTGTGGACAATGGTGATGCACATGGGTCTGGCTTCTAGGAATTTTGGTGGATTCTTTGCGCTGTCAATCATCTTTGCCTTCTTTGCTACACTGACAGTGTTTATTCTGTTGATCATGGAAGGGCTGTCTGCCTTCCTTCATGCTCTCAGATTGCATTGGTAAGGGCACACACGCAATGCTTGCCTTTTATAAATTAAAACAGTTGAACAGTTTCAAGAGCAGATGTCGCTCCCTATCAATGGCTATACATACACTGCTAGTCTAGCAAAATACAGTTGTATTGACTATTCTGAGTGTTTAATGTTATTCTTTACACAAAAACTGCGTTCTAAAACCAAACTCGCTTCCTGAAAAGATGGTATCTAGATTTTTATCAAATCTATGTACAAAACCAAACTAAAAAAGTTATGTGGAGCTAGAAAATAACCTTTATTTTATTTTATTTTAAACTCAGAATTGCAATCTACTGACCCTGTTTCCCCACTTATTTTCTGTAGGGTGGAGTTCCAGAATAAATTCTACACTGGACAGGGCTTCAAGTTCATGCCTTTTACTTTTGACAGCATTCTGGAGGGCAAGTTTGAAGACTAAACCACACCCACATTCTCTCCCTCCCCAACTGCCACACCTCCAAACTACAGGATTTCATGATTCTTGTGAACACTGTGACTTTGTAAGGCTCTAAATTTCTCAGGTGTTCTAGATCAGGACATAAATGGAATAATTTACAAGCAGGTAAACTAGATGTAAATAGTTGAAGCTGAAAATAATCTGAGCTAGAACTGCATAACGTATTTGCAATGATTTCGTAACTCTTCAATTCTTGCAGTGATATGTATTGATGTGTAATAATACAAACTCAAGTAGTGTTGCCATACAGCACACAGGAGTATGAACAGCATGTTTTACTCAATCAAGGCAAAATATCATTACAGTTTCCCTCCCATTGTAGCATAGGTGGAGATTTTGTCTATATGTTTTCCAGTCTCTTAAATTATTAGAGTTTGTTTTTTATGTATCTTTTATCCTTTATGTTGACACATTTACATAATAGTTCTCATGCAAAGGGACCTCATTTCAAATGCAGCAAAGAAAGCTTCACTTTATGGCATTTCACAAGCTTCTGCCGAGAGGATATCCTCATCAAGCATATCTGATTACTAGATGCAGATAATCCCCCAGATTTATTGCAGATCTTTGCATTTTTTTGGAAAATGTAAGTAAAGAGAAATTATATTTTAGTTGGCCTTGAACTGTGTTGCTGTTTTTTGTGTGTGTGTTTAGCTATTGTGATTTAAATGCAAATACACATCTAAACTGTTAATCTCATGAATCTGATGGGTTTTTGATTGTTGTGTTTACAACATGAACATGCATTGGCTCCTGAAAAAAAAATCGTTGGTTTGATAGATGTCAGAGGGAGTCTTGGAGAAAATAACTATACCAAGTAAAAGCAGTAGGTGAAGCTGAATGATTATGTCTGTTTTGCTCGTCAATAAAGAGCAAAGAGTGGATCTGAACTCAATTCTGTTTTTCTTTTTCTTTTTAACATACATGTGAGAAAATATCTGTTAATAAATCATGTCTGTACATGTATAATACAATTAAAGGATTATTTATTATTAAGAATCATTATTAATAATATATAGCATAATTATTACTTTTAATAAACATGAAATGATTAAATAATATTTCTGTTTTCTTAAGTGTTATTGCTGTTGTTTCACATTAGCCATGTTGATATTTGGAACGACAGCACTCGTACTCTTGTGATGTTGCTTAATTACATTTCAGACAAAATTTGACCAGTTTGTATTTTTCTACGCTAACAAAAAGAACCCAAGTTTTACAGTTTCCCCTTTCCCAACTTAAAAAAAATCCTTTAATCACTCACACTTGCTAGAGCTGAGGTGATAAACAAACTTTTAATTTTTAACTAAAAAAAAAAAACCACTCCTCGCTCCAGTCAAAATCACAAAAACTCACATACTCTGGTCTGGAACTTCGCAAACGCAATTGGAGCCATACAAACAGAAACGTCTTAATCCTGTTGAACTAAATATCAACATGTTAGGAACATGTTATTGTGCTATATTGTAATGGTGTTTCCAGTAATGCAGCGTGTCTTTGATAGTAATTTTCAGTATCAGGTTTACGCTTTAATGAGTCATAAATCGATTTGAGCCGTTTGTCTCATACCCTTGCGTAAATGAGAGGGTGGGTATGTGTTCTAGTGTCCCTTGCCAGGCTCTAGTGAGGGTGGAGACTCCCCTTAAAGGGTCAGTGTGGGTGTGACCTTACAGTAAGTGATCACAGCAGAGGGCTGGTCTAAGGAGGGAAAGGAAAGACCTGACGGACAGGCTTCACAGGGAGCTGTGGTCACACACACCTTGGAGAGAGAGAGTCTGCTTCCACCGACTGGCCGAGATCCCAGAGTAGACTTGAGGGAAAATTTGAGGCATTACAGCAAACCTAGAGAGTAGTACTTAGTGGTAGTGAGTAGTGGAGGTGACTTGAAGATTGGTTAGAAGTTGCCAAGAAGTGTTGGAGTCGTTGCGCTGTGATCGTTGGGTGTCTACTGTCATTCAAGTCTTTTTTTAGTGCTTTATTTTTACCCTAGGACTGCGTTCTTGCACACTGGGCCACGAGTGTGCATGCTTCTGCCCTCTGTCTGCAAGTAAGCTTGTGTGTGTTTCATCAGAGTCTACTTGAAACCGAGCCATGGCCGACACAGACTTCAAACTGGAGCGTGCCGTCTTCGCCGAAGTCTCTGATGATGACGAGGAGGTCTCCTTGATGCCTGCTGCCACCAAACCTGCCACCGTCTCCAAGGTGTTCAAATCAAAACGAGGCGATGATGATGACGATGATGACCCGGCGGAAGAGGTGGACCTGGTGTTGGGGCCGGGACTCGATGGAGGCGGCAGCGGTGAGGCCCAGAAGTCCGAGGCCCAGGCTACAGGCATGAAGGTCCTGGCACTCCTAGACAAGATCATAGGTGTGGTGGACCAGATCCAGCAGACTCAGACAGGTCTGGAGGCCAAGCAGGAGACCATGGAGAAGAACATGAGCAGCATCCAGACGGAGCTGGCCAAGCTGGCCAAGAATCACGTTGGGACGGCCGGGACGGTCAACAAGCTTCTGGACAAGGTGCGGAAGGTGAACGTCAATGTGAAGAGCGTGCGCACGGACCTGGAGAAGCAAGCGGGACAGATTAAAAAACTGGAGAACAATGAACATGAGCTCCTCAAGAGGAAGAACTTCAAAGTGCTTATCTTCCAGGTGAGTAATGGGTGCTTGACAGAGCGTCTGACTGCGAAGTCTTTGATATGCAAACCTGGCACTCCATCTCCTTTAATTTGTCTTAACTAATGGATACTAATTAGTCTTTTAGCTCATACTTCATTCAAAAGCAACTTATAGGAACCCTTACTCAGCTGCATGGCTCACTTCTTGCAGGGTTTGAACCTACAGTTTGGTTACCATTCCCAGCTCTAACCAATGGGCTACACCACCTTCTGATTGTGGAACTGCAGCTAATTGTGGTTGGTTATAAAAGCTCGAGTCCAGGTGGTCTGTGGTCTTTTTCTTGCTGTTGTAGTCTAGTTTTTTAGTGTGGCCAGGTGTTATTTTATTTAGTTAGTTAGTCATTCATTCATTCAGACTGCAGTTGCTTTTGCTGACATTTCCACACTGGCTGTCATTGTAATGATGCACACGTGTGGAAATTTGGGGAAAATTGTAAATTTGATCATATCATTCAGGCTGAGATGCATAAACACATGATTTGCTTTCAAACCACCTATAAATGTATAAATCCAGTTCCATGCATTTTTTTTTCATGTTCAGGCTATTACTACAGTAAGTGTATTTGGGGTGGATAGACCAAAAGAAAAAAAAAAACACAATAGGCAAAGTCTTAGACCACCTTCTGCTTCATCAGTGATGTGTTCCCTATGACCTTAATCATGACCTTAAATTGTTACCTTGGAGTTAGATTTTTATGATGCAATCAAACACTTCAGTTACTATAATATACGTGCTAATCAACTTATATAATTCATGCACTATACTAATATAATGTGCTATACTAATATAATTGATAAGCACGATCATGTTGTTTTGCTAGAGTCTGCTTCATGAGTATGTATTTGCAGTCTTCCTTCCCAGGTCTTTTTTGGAGTACACATGGTTTCCTCTGCAGGGCTTGGCCTTGAATTCCCCACTCAGTATCATAAAGTGTCAATCCACTCCTAAGTAAACCTTCAAAGGTTCATGTCTAACCTCACAGCGACCTCTGAACAATGCTGGATCAGCACATACCATGAGTGAACAGCAAATACTGCATGTACGTCAAAAGGCAGCCTTTAAAAAAAAAAGTTTTTAGCTGTGCATATGGCTAATAATACAATAAATATAACTTTATATTAATTACATGTTAGTACTAAATACATAATATTAATTACACAAAAATATGTTTTAGTATTAAATAAAATAATTCAATTTTACAGCATTAAATACAATAATTTACCTAAATCCGCCTTTGTCATCTATATGGTAATATCATTATAGCAGTGTGACTGACACTGACAATTTACATATAAAATAAAAAATATTAAAAAATAAAAAATATATAATTTAATATAAATTAGTTGTTATTATTAAATAATACTAAAAAAATACCTTTTAGTATTAAATACAAAAATTACTTTTTACAGTATTAAATAAACAGTAAATTACAGTAAATTACCTTGCATATCATTACCATTGTCACCATTTACATGAATATAAATTAATAAAATGTAATATTAATTACATTTTATTTTTAAATACATACTAAAATACATTCTAGTATTAAATACAATCAATTAATTACATTTACAGCATTAAATACAATAAATTACCTTGTATGATAACAGCCATTGTCAATTATAGTAATATTGCAGTGTGATTTACAGTGACAATTGACTGAATATTGAAATAAATGTATGTAATGTTTTTTTTATATAAATAAACTATTGATATGTTATTTTTATAAATACACTTTTTATATTACCATTTTACAGTAAATATGTCAGCCATTGTCCCCTATATGGTAATATCATTAGCTGTGTGATTGACAGTGCAGTGGATGGTACATTAACAGTTTTCCGTTATATAATTGTGTTTAATGACTCTTTTAAACCCACAGATGTTATTTTGTGCCAGTAATTATGTTGTTATTCCTTTCTGTCTGTGATCTGACATTACTGCGCTGGAGCAGAAGCGTCTAATGTGCGTGTAACGTGGACAGGCTGAGGTTCAGTGTGTTCCAGCAGCACTTTACTGTTGTTTACCCTGCACCAGCGTTACTGCATTTAGCCCTACTAACGAGTCATTTCCTTCCAGCTCTGCTCTGAGGGGCTGCAGGGGGGAACTGTGCTGATGTAATTGGCCTGTAATGTTTTTAATGCAGATGGAACTGAATGATGGAAGATGACAGGAGTGAGGGAGGTCATTTATTGGTATATTTGTGAAATTATGTTCTGTTCAGCTATTTCCCATCATTTCTCTGGGCATATGTTGCCTAATGAGGTTCATTATAGTCTGTTAGGGATAATCAGAGAAGATGCACCAGAGGGATCACATGTGTATCTCTCCTGGGAATGAGCAAACTCCCAAACACACATTAGCTGTGTGAAAAACATGGGCACTGTAGATACAGTGGGGCAAAAAAGTATTTAGTCAGCCACCAATTGTGCAAGTTCTCCCACTTAAAAAGATGAGAGAGGCCTGTAATTTTCATCATAGGTATACCTCAACTATGAGAGACAAAATGAGAAAAAAAATCCAGAAAATCACATTGTAGGATTTTTAAAGAATTTATTTGCAAATTATGGTGGAAAATAAGTATTTGGTCAATAACAAAATTTCATCTCAATACTTTGTTATAATATACCCTTTGTTGGCAATGACAGAGGTCAAACGTTTTCTGTAAGTCTTCACAAGGTTGTCACACACTGTTGCTGGTATTTTGGCCCATTCCTCAAGAGCAGTAATGTTTTGGGGCTGTCGCGGGCAACACGGATTTTCAACTCCCTCCAAAGATTTTCTAGGGGGGTGAGATCTGGAGACTGGCTAGGCCCCTCCAGGACCTTGAAATGCTTCTTACGAAGCCACTCCTTCATTGCCCGGGCGGTGTGTTTGGGATCATTGTCATGCTGAAAGACCCAGCCACGTTTCATCTTCAATGCCCTTGCTGATGGAAGGAGGTTTTCACTCAAAATCTCACAATACATGGCCCCATTCATTCTATCATTTACACGGATCAGTCGTCCTGGTCCCTTTGCAGAAAAACAGCCCCAAAGCATGATGTTTCCACCCCCATGCTTCACAGTAGGTATGGTGTTCTTTGGATGCAACTCAGCATTCTTTCTCCTCCAAACACGACAAGTTGAGTTTTTACCAAAAAGTTCTATTTTGGTTTCATCTGACCATATGACATTCTCCCAATCCTCTTCTGGATCATCCAAATGCTCTCTAGCAAACTTCAGACAGGCCTGGACATGTACTGGCTTAAGCAGGGGGACACATCTGGCACTGCAGGATTTGAGTCCCTGGCAGCGCAGTGTGTTACTGATGGTAGCCTTTGTTACTTTGGTCCCAGCTCTCTGCAGGTCATTCACTAGGTCCCCCCGTGTGGTTCTGGGATTTTTGCTCACAGTTCTTGTGATCATTTTGACCCCACAGGGTGAGATCTTGCGTGGAGCCCCAGATCAAGGGAGATTATCAGTGGTCTTGTATGTCTTCCATTTTCTAATAAGTGCTCCCACAGTTGATTTCTTCACACCAAGCTGCTTACCTATTGCAGATTCAGTCTTCCCAGCCTGGTGCAAGTCTACAATTTTGTTTCTGGTGTCCTTTGACAGCTCTTTGGTCTTGGCCATGGTGGAGTTTGGAGTGTAAATAAAAAATATATAATTTAATATAAATGAGTTGTTATTATTAAATAATACTAAAAAAATACCTTTTAGTATTAAATACAAAAATTACTTTTTACAGTATTAAATAAACAGTAAATTACAGTAAATTACCTTGCATATCATTACCATTGTCACCATTTACATGAATATAAATTAATAAAATGTAATATTAATTACATTTTATTTTTAAATACATACTAAAATACATTCTAGTATTAAATACAATCAATTAATTACATTTACAGCATTAAATACAATAAATTACCTTGTATGATAACAGCCATTGTCAATTATAGTAATATTGCAGTGTGATTTACAGTGACAATTGACTGAATATTGAAATAAATGTATGTAATGTTTTTTTTATATAAATAAACTATTGATATGTTATTTTTATAAATACACTTTTTATATTACCATTTTACAGTAAATATGTCAGCCATTGTCCCCTATATGGTAATATCATTAGCTGTGTGATTGACAGTGCAGTGGATGGTACATTAACAGTTTTCCGTTATATAATTGTGTTTAATGACTCTTTTAAACCCACAGATGTTATTTTGTGCCAGTAATTATGTTGTTATTCCTTTCTGTCTGTGATCTGACATTACTGCGCTGGAGCAGAAGCGTCTAATGTGCGTGTAACGTGGACAGGCTGAGGTTCAGTGTGTTCCAGCAGCACTTTACTGTTGTTTACCCTGCACCAGCGTTACTGCATTTAGCCCTACTAACGAGTCATTTCCTTCCAGCTCTGCTCTGAGGGGCTGCAGGGGGGAACTGTGCTGATGTAATTGGCCTGTAATGTTTTTAATGCAGATGGAACTGAATGATGGAAGATGACAGGAGTGAGGGAGGTCATTTATTGGTATATTTGTGAAATTATGTTCTGTTCAGCTATTTCCCATCATTTCTCTGGGCATATGTTGCCTAATGAGGTTCATTATAGTCTGTTAGGGATAATCAGAGAAGATGCACCAGAGGGATCACATGTGTATCTCTCCTGGGAATGAGCAAACTCCCAAACACACATTAGCTGTGTGAAAAACATGGGCACTGTAGATACAGTGGGGCAAAAAAGTATTTAGTCAGCCACCAATTGTGCAAGTTCTCCCACTTAAAAAGATGAGAGAGGCCTGTAATTTTCATCATAGGTATACCTCAACTATGAGAGACAAAATGAGAAAAAAAATCCAGAATCGTTTTTATGTAGTGGCAACATAAATATGCAAATATTGTCACTGCCCCTATACGATCTGAAACCACAAGTGAAAATGCTTTTGTATTGCTTTTTTCCTAAATCAATATAAACAATTACAAATT